TTCCACTCAGTCTTTTACAGGACCAAGAACGGAGAATTAGTCAGCTGTTCTTTGTTTTTATTGCCCTGACTCTTGAACAGGATCCAGACTTGCTCCTGAGGTTTTTCATCTGGATTGGACTGAATAAAACAGATTTTTCTTGCAACTGAAACCCCTTTATTTGCAAAAGGTTATGATAACCAGAAGAAGCCAAGCTCCCCCAGTTTTTGTTTGGGATGGGCAGTGGAACCGGCTTCCTGCGGTCATGTTCACATTAAAGGAGGTTCATAGGACATTGATTTCAAAACAAACCAGAAAAGTGGAAGCTGTCATGTTTGTGCCTTAGTGTAGCGTGCTGGGACGCTCTTGCTAAGATTATGCCTGCTGATTCTGGCATAAATAGTGATTTGAGCAGACCCTACCCTAGGGAGTTGAGTCCCATTCCTTTCTCCCTTGTATAGGAACAAATCAATTATTCCAAGGAGGCGGTGTTGTCTCTTGGTGCTGTTGTGTTGCTTTTTGAAAACGTTTTGTAAGTTAGTCCTTAAGTGGGATAATTGCTTTCAGCATTTGCAAGTTAAATGAAGAAAGCTCTAATTAGATTTTATAAAGTGGCTTAGCATGTTGAGAAGGCTTTTCATAAAGTATACTGTGTATTCACTTGGCATTGCACAATTGAATTTCGTGTAGCACTGACGAAACCTAAAAATCCTATTTGGCCCTAGGTGCTTAGAGGATTGAAAGCCTGTCTTAAGTGCTCCTGGCCATACAGCCTCTCTTCCTTTCCCCACCATCCCACCCTCACCAGGGCATTTATCTGTGTTGTGGAGACTGGAGGAGTTGCATCAACACCAACCTGTTTGAGGAAGAGCTTTGGAGCTGGGCATACAGCTTGATGTTTTGTAGCACTTCCAAACAGGACCCTGCACAAGCTGTTTAATCTGTTTTAGCTGTTATTGTGCTGTGCTCATTGTATGGTGGGGCTGGGTGGCACAGAGCCACTTTGTTCAGGTCACTCCTGGCTCTGTGCAAGCACTTACTGAGTCCCACACAAACCCAACAGTGCCTGTGCTTAGTAGTTTTTGGTATTGTTTGGTGTCCTGTAGGTTAGAAATGTGATATGCTAATGCTTTCCTCTTGCCATCACAGCCTTGGCAGCAGCTGAGGCACTGGCCAAAGCAGCCTGACACCCTGCTTGCCATCTGAATAAGGACTTAGTCCAGTCACAAGCCCCTTTCATGTGTGGTTTTTGCAGTGTGTGTGCCAGGAGCTTTCTGATGAGAATTGGAAGGAGTCCCCAGAGCCAGTGTTTGTTCAGGTCGTTTGGATGCTGTTGCTGGATGTGACTTTTAGAGTCTTATGGAAGATGGGCTCTGTTTGGGAGGTGACACCTCCACTACCTCAGTCAATCAGATCATGAAGCTTCATCTGCAAAAATGTGGATTCCATGTGTAACAACGTAGAAGAAATCAGATCTATAGTACTTAATCATAAAATCACAGAATGGTTTGGGTTGGGACAGACCTTAAAAACCCTCTAGTTTCACCCCTTTGCCATGGATAAGGACACCTGCCACTAGGCCTGGCTGCTGAGGGCCCCATCCAGCCTGACCTTGAAGATTTCCAGAGGTGAGGAGTTTTGCATGTGTTTGTTATTAGTTCAGACAATCACAAAAGCAGCTTGTCAAAACTGTGTATTGGTGATAAGGCCTGAGTTTGAAGAAGGACACAGAGATCTCTAGTAAGATCCACTCAACTTGGGACATTAATTAATGGATCATGACCAGCCTAACATCCTGGCAGGGGGACAAAAGGTTGTTCTTTTGCCCTCTAGCCGTGCTTGATCTTTTCAACCTGGGGTTAGAGAGTCATCTCTATCATAGTCAGTTTTTCTCACTCATTCCTTTTAAAGGGTCAGATTCTTTGAACACTTGTGGAATCAACAAACTTTCCCATTTGAATTTACTGGATCGCTGTGTCCATGACAAGTTGTGGCAGTGTGTTCCTTGTGTGAACAACAGGCTGCTGTTGTAACCACATGGAGCACACAGCTTTGGATGAACGTTCACAGCCACCCACGGGCACTTGATTCATCACATGTGCCTCAAAGCATTTTACTCTTTTGTAGTGTCTTTGTAAATGGACTTTGTGTCCCTCTTTGAAGTACATATGAGCTGTAAGGGCTGCCATGGTCAAGCTGAACTCAGAAGTGAATACAAACTTAGACCTTTCTCCTTTTCTGCCTTAAATGTCAAACCAGTGTGTATCACTGTTAATGGAGTTATTTACTCATTTTGGTAAACATGTAGGCTAAGGAAGAAACTTTGGCAGGTTCCTTGTGATCTTGTGAGTGGTGTGCAGGCAGAACTCCAGTTTTCTTTGAGAACAGAGTTCAAATTGGATGAAGTGTCCTGTATTATGAGAGACAGTTCATGCTATGGCAGGCTCTGCAGTTCGGTGGAGCTGAAGTTCTTGGGTGAACTTGAGGTGATGAAGATTCTGTGTCTGTAGAGATGAAATGTTAACCTTAACAACTCTTTAAGGAAGCAGATATTACTGCGTGACACGTGGCCAGGACGTAATTAAAGAAAAAAGGTATTTTTCCTGAATTCTTTTCTCATTTTAAATTAATCTGTATGTTGTATATTTAGTGTAGCAACTGTGTTGTTGGTGCAAGTGCCTTGAAATGAGTTTTGAGTTGTGACGTGTCTCAGCCTTGTGTCTGTGCTCAGACAAATTTTGGTTTATCATGTAGCTTTTCGTGGCAGGGAAATTGCTAAATTGAAGATTTACTCCTGAAAGTGCCAAAGACATTCTTTGAACAAGTTTGGGAGGATTTAATTTAGTCTGCATAGAGGTAAGAGAGTGGGGGGATGACTCTTAAATTGTCCAATTCCATGAAAAAACTGCAGTGACCTTCCAGAGGGGAGGGTCAGAAAGCACAGGTGGGTCCTCATATCTCACCTACAGGGCAGCTGTGCCAGGGTAAATAGGTGCTCATTGGCAGGGGACTGGTGCCACATCCCTCAGTGTCCCAGCTCCATGGCTTGGGATGGACTTTGCACACTGGGGTGATTTATTTGTGAGCCAGGGCCTGCCTTTGTGAGTGCACAGGTTGGTGCTTCTCATGCAAGGAACTCCCCCGGGTGTTTGGAACAGGGTCCTCTGCAAGAAACTGTTTTTGTATTTTCAAGGAACAAAGTAAATTGTGTTGTTGCCTTCTGTGTTATCTTCTTCTGTGTGGCCAAAGGCAATCAATGAGCTTTTGCTGCATTTCAGGGTTTTATGCTAATATTTCACTGCTATCAGTACTTTTTTTTTTTTCCAGAAAATAAAATTATCTTAATTACCCTGAAGTAACAAATCCTCAAAGCTGTAATCATTGCTGATATAATGCTTCATATTTACAAAATATGAACAATTCAGTTCACCTCTTCACATGGTCTTTTGAGTTACTGTAAACAGTTTCCTGGAACCATTGCTTAATCAAGAAATTGAATTTTGTAACATGAATAGTAAAGGCTTTTGACAACAAAGATGTAATGCTTCCTTTCTTGTTTTATCCAATTTAGTGATGTACATTCCATTAGTGTACTTTAAATTTCAGTAGAATGTAAGTGAAAGGGTACAATTATGAAGATTTTATCATAAGGCAATACTTGGACACAGAGCAACTATTGTGCTGATTATTTGGTGTGATATGGTTACTCTTCTTTAACTATGAGTCTTCAATAATGATTTTAAAGATTTGCTATGTCTGTGTCTACTTGCCTAATCTTTACTTTTCAAAGTTTTTAATAGATTTTTTGGTATAGAATCCCAGAAAGGTTTGGGTTGGAAGGGACCTTAAAGATCATCCCATTCCAACCCCCTGCCATGGGCAGGACCATCTTCCACTGTCCCAGGTTGTTCCAGACCCTGTCTAACCTGGCCTTGGACACTTCCAGGGGTCCAGGGGCAGCCACAGCTTCTCTGGGCAACCTGTGCCAGGGGTCGCCGTCCTCGTGGAGAAGAATTTTTTCCCCATATCTAATTTCTACCTGCCCTCTGTCAGTGGGAAACCATTCTCTGTATTCTGTCACCCAATTGTATCGAAATAAATTACAGAATTGATCTATATGCAACATGTGATGTTTTTCTTTTGTCTGATATTTTGTACATAAGGCTTTGCAAACCTTGATTTCTAATGTTTTGATGTACCAGAACCTCACTCTCATGCTTCAAGAAAAAGTGTATGAAGGCCCTTAAAATGAGATTTGGGAAGCAGAAGGGAAACTGCCCAGGCCGGCATAATCATCATCATAATATCATTAAATAAATTACTCTGTGATTTAACTTGAGCACTCCTGGATGGATTAAGCCCATAATAATTTGACATGGGGCACTCTGTGTGTTTCTCATGAAGATCATAACTCAGGGCAGTTTTGCATCCCGTGGGAAACTTTCTTTCAGATGGAGGCTGGGAGGGCCATATCTGTTTGTGAAGGACAGGGAGTGCTTTTGTTACCTTCCCAGAGCCTTTACGGGATGTGATTGCTTGGGGGAGTGTCTGCTTATGATCTGTTAGAAAACAGCCTATTAATAAAACAGAGGCTCTTGTAATAGAGCACTTCTTAATCTTCTTCCTGTGTAGTTATTTATAGGTTGTGACATCTTAATTTGCCTCTCATGTGCATCGACTTCTGTTATTTTAAAAGATCAAGTAGTTTTCACACGCCTCTGAGAATCACTTCTGGGAGAAACTGTCTGTTTTCTAAGGAATCTGACTAAAAAGGTTCAAATTATCAGTTTGTTGTGACAAGTACATTAAGGTTTTTGCTGGTGTCTTTCTAAAGGACAGAAGTTATGGGATGTGTTCTTGTAGTTATTTATATATTAATCCTGTATTTGATTACAAGCAGATATTCCTGAATTCCCCAAGGATTTCTAGTTGCTGCTAATACTTATTTTCCCTTAGCGACCTACCTGGAGCAATATTAAATCCGTTCTTCTCTTGATTTTTGTGGTCCTTTGCTTTCTCAGAGTGGTCCCAGTGCCAGGTCCTGTCACAAGATGTGCATTGACATCCAGCGGCGGCAGATCTACACGCTGGGGCGGTACCTGGATTCCTCTGTGAGGAACAGCAAGTCCCTGAAAAGTGACTTCTACCGCTACGACATCGACACCAACACCTGGATGTTGCTGAGCGAGGACACTGCAGCAGATGGAGGCCCCAAGCTGGTGTTTGATCATCAGGTCAGCCACACTTCATCCTCCCACTGCAAATTCTCAGCGTTTAAAAGTCAGTTTTGATCACAGTCTCTGTGATTTTGAGGTGCTGTGCCAGGTAACAGAGCAGGGATGAAGGTGTGATCTGCACTCAATTAAATCCTAATAGCATTGCTGCTCAATGCCACTTGCTGCTGGTGCTCTAATCAAACAGAGTCAGAAGAATCATAAAAACCTTTGCAAACAAATGCATTTTATTAAGACACGTTTTATTAAAGCTCAAAGCACAGTTCACCTGGTGTTAATCAGTCTCCTTGAGCTGAGTTTGCAGATCTGCCTTGCCTGGAGGGCCTTGGGGAACAACTTGCAAAGCTGTGTGTGGTACCTTTGGAAGAGCACTCCAAGCAAGCTGCTGGAATGAGGCCAACACAGGAGCAGGATTCTTTCCAAATTGGTTACCTTTAAAAATTGTAGAATGTGCTTTCTTTGTAGACCTTGAAGCACCTTAGAGGAATGGCTGCTAATCCTTTAAAAAGTCACATCTGTCCACGTGCTCAATTTGAAAACTTCTTTACTTATGTTGTGTTCACTGGCTTTTGTCTACTGGAAAAAGGTATTTTGTTCTCAGTTGATGTTTTTTTTTTTTATGAAGCATCGCCAAGAAACAGCACATCAGGACTCATTTTTAAAGCAGCCCAAGATCAGCTTTTATTGGTACTGACTGTTTTGTAACCAAAGCTGTTGTTTGCCAGCACAATGTGCCTTCCTGCTGACACTGAAAATTAAAGATATACCATGTCTGCAGAACAAAAGCCAATCAGTCTTTCTGTTCTATTAATAACCAGTGCCAGTCTCCCAGGTGTTGGGCAAGAGGCACAAGGAAATTGTCAGCTGGCAAGGCTACTCTGGGTACCTTGCTTGCCTCTTGAAATTATTCCTTTTTTTCTTGTTCAGTCTCTCAGGGAAGAAGGGCTTCACTGACTTCTATCAATCTGCGACTCTCCCTCTTCTCTCCCTCAGCACCTACTGTGATAGCAGTTTTTATTTAACCTTCAGAAATGTGCAGCACTAGAAGTATTTTGTGTAGGCTTTGCTGAGTAGCATCTCTATCTTACTGTAATCTTGTCTGTTTATTGGTTTGCTTTTTTTCCCCCCTCTGGTATTCTATAACCCTCTGCTTTGCACTTTGTCTGAAACCATCACCTAGAGTCAGGGGGTTTTGATTTGTCCTGCAGTGCTTCTCATGTGTGCCATAACCTCAGTTTAGGTTTGGAGATTAAACATATTTCTGCTGCATTCCCATGAGGAATCTTTGGCCAAGTTATGCCTCCACTTTGTGTTCCAGTAATGAGGGTAACAGTAAATGTGTGCTGGGGATGGAATCTCAGTAGCAAATCACAAGCTGATTTTTGCATCAGTTGATTGGTGGGCAATAAATTAGCAGAGATTTTGAATTTCTCCCTTGCACAACCTTTGCCAAAGGTGCTACTCTTTTAACTCTGGGTATAAGGACGTAGCTTGAAAACACCCCCATGGATCTTTTCTGTGGAATCTATGGATCTATGGAAAAAGAACTCCGTGAGTCCTTGTGAAAGACTCTCAAGTACTTTTCCCTGAAATCAGCAGGTTGTTTAGGTGATGAAGGATACATTTAGTCTTTTCTTTTTCATATTAAATGGTATATAGAAATTAGACTTGTGTTTTCTTTTTCTTTTATGAGATTAAGACCTGACAACCATGAAGATGTGTGTCCTTTTCTGTTTGTTGGAGGCTCAGGAGATGTGCAGAGCACTGTCCCCTGCATTGCTTGCAGGAGAGGGGTGTTAAATGTTAGATCTCAAGAGTGTTCAGGTCTTACCGTGCCAACTTAAAAAACTGCTTCCCTGCTTCTTGCAGATGTGCATGGATTCTGAAAAACACATGATCTACACTTTTGGAGGCCGAATTCTGACCTGCAATGGCAGTGTGGATGACAGCAGAGCCAGTGAGCCCCAGTTCAGTGGCTTGTTTGCTTTTGACTGCCAGTGCCAGACGTGGAAACTTCTGAGGGAGGATTCCTGCAACGCCGGACCCGAGGATATCCAGTCCCGGATAGGACACTGCATGTTGTTCCATTCTGTGAGTGTCCACACCCTACTTTGATTTACGATGTCTGACTTTAAGGAGAACATCTGGTTTTGGTTTTTCTTGCAAATTTTGAGCTCTTTAATCTCCTGAGTGATGTGTTGTTTCAGTTAATTCGAAGTTTGCTGACATTCTGATGCTGCCCTGGTAAGTGCAGGACGTGCTGAAAGTTTTGGAGTTTTCACGACTCCAACTGAATAAAATTTCAAGTAAAAATCAAGGTGAATTTAAAAGAGTTGATTTTAATGGAATAGTAAACAGTATGGCCACTTCATTCAGAGCCTCATGGAGAAGCAGAAGGGTGGGAGTGAGGTGTATATAGCATTTTACTCTATGTTGGGTATTAAAAACCACTTTCCATTGCCTTTCCAGTTGTGTTCATCAACCACATGTCTATTTAAGAGAACTAAAGAGAATTTTAATCAATGCTGTGACATTTAAATATTTACTGATACCACCAACTCAAAACCCACCAATTTGAAAAAAATTGCTGATTTTATTTCTCTTGCCCTTTCAAGTGAAAGATCAGAATTGTTACAGTTTTTCTGAGCTGTCAGTTTTATTTTTGTTTTGAATGGTTCTTTAAAATCTGGTGGGAAAACATTGCCACACAAAATTCTGCACAAGGACTTGAGGATCTTTCAAAAACAGGGTTTTTTTTCTGAGGCTCTGTCCGTGGTAAATGTAAGAATACTGGTTTCTGTAAGCACAGGTCATAGAAGTTTAAGTCCTTTTCTGTTTTCTCAGCCATTTGAAAGAAAAATAATCTGCCTCTTACGGACTTTCCACTTGGCAGACTTGAAAGAAGCAATAAACGTGTTATTCTTGGCTTGCTCCTTGTCATTTGCCTATACTGAATTTAGTAATGTGCTGGTACCTGGATGGTTTCTCCTACACTCTGTCTTTTGTTTCTGTTGTGTTTTTAACAGCGATATTATGATGGATTTTAGAGATGGAGCCTTTTAATTCTTTCATAATAAACTTGAAAGATGAGCTGCTGCTTTAATGTTTTGAAGTTAAAGTTGGATGAGGCAGGGCTGCATCAATTACCTGTGCACAATGATGTTAAAGTTAGAAGAGACATTTCTGTTCCTCTTTGATTCATTAATGGCTGCCCCTGAATCCCTGGAAGTGTTCCAGGCCAGGCTGGATAAGTGACCTGGGATAATGGAGGGGATTGGAACTGGATGGGCTTTAATGTCCTTTCCAACCCAAACCACTTATGATTCTATGATAAATATTCCTGTTAATGATCACAGTTGACCAACATACTGTCTTGAATTTGTAAAGACTTTTTTTTTTTTTTCCCCATGCCAGAAAAACCGCTGCTTATACGTATTTGGTGGCCAGAGATCAAAGACTTATTTGAATGACTTCTTCAGTTATGATGTGGACAGTGACCACGTGGACATTATCTCAGATGGCACGAAGAAAGATTCAGGGATGGGTAAGAGGATAACTACAGAATCATTTCATTCCATTAGTACAATAGACTAGTATAATATATATATTGTATATTATTTATATATATATAAATATACTGTGAAAGATCAAATATTGTAAAAGGAGAAGTATGTAGGTGAAAGGCCAGGTTTAACCTGTGGGATCAGCTTGGCATCCTCAACTATCTCTCCATACCCAGGTAAACTCCACACTGTACAGATTAAACTTATGCCAGCTCTTCTGTCCCTTCTGTCACTTGACACTCCATCTTGAGCACAATACAAATAATTGATGCATGAAACCACGTAACACCTTAAAAGGAAAAAAAAAAAAAAAAAAAAGCCCAAACCAGCTAAATAAGAACTAAGAATAGCTCTTCTGGAAACAAAAGCTGGGGAAAAAAGGTTTTTGAACCTGGAAAGGAGAAAGCAAATTTTTATTTTTCTGGTTTTCACTAAGTGAAAATTACCATAAATTAGAGATAACCTGCAGAAGGGCAGGTGGGGTGCTCAGAGACAGAGAATTGGAGTAGAGGGACAGAAGTTATTTTGACCAGAGAGATGAGACCAATCTGTTGTCCTGTTATATTTGTAATAAATATCAGAAAGGGGCAAAAAAAAAAGGAAGGAGGAGAGGGAACAGGGCTTCAGTTCTGTGTGATTCATAGCACTGGAGCTACTGTGTGTAGTTCTGTATGACAGAAGTCTTTAAAAACACCCCGAAGGCCTGTAACACAACCATAAAGAACCGATTTCATGCCTTTTCTCCTCAAATGACAGACAAAAATGTTCCTTTCTTCCCGAAAAGCATTTCTGCATGTATAGGCACATCACTTTCCTGTTACAAATACCCTGATCTTCATCCTACAAGTCAGAATTTGAAATTTGAGTTGCACCGTTTACACTATGGGACAGAAGTTACGAGTATATCTCATGTGTTCTATATTCAGTCCCTGTCTTCTCTTCTTCCAGTTACTAAAACCCCAGGAAGGTAATTAATCTTGAATTTAGGCTGCCCTCCTCCTTTTGATCAGGTTTAACTTTTAGCAAGTAATTTTGTTGAAGTTTTGAAGTGAATTATTGGTGGTGACAAGTTATTGTTTGCTCGTTAATTTAGTTATGCCAATAAGGGAGAAAAGTACCCAAGCTCTGATTCTCTGGAATCATTTATTTACTCAAGTGCTTCCAAGAAAGAACCAGCTCACTGTTGACAGTCTCCTTTTTTCAGGTGCACGTTGCCTGATGCTGCTCTGCACACACCCACGCTCCCTTTGTTGTCCTTAGAGCTTTTAAAGAACTGTTTTTTGTTTTTTTTTCCCCCCAGGAAATTAGTACCATTCTGCCATTTTGATCTTTTCAAGCTACATGTCTTCATATCCAGAAGCTTGAAAACCTGTGGCTTTAAGCTGACACCTTTGTATACTTCAGATTTAAATATAATGAGTTTGTCAGGACACTGAGCTCTGCTTTTCATACATAAACTGCCACATTCAGTGAAGTAAATGAGAAATTAAGTAAATTTTTAGCCCTTCTTCCCATTCCCACAGTCCCTGAAGTGATGAATAGAGGTTTTAATTTTTTTTTTTTAATAAGAAAATGACTCACTGGAAATAATTCACGAGTAGATTTTTTTTGGTTTACTGTTCTCCTGTGTGTGGAAAGTAAACAAACAGATTTGAACGTTTCCATTGCTTTTGAAAGAAAATGCTGGGATAATTTGCATTTTAACAGGAAGAGAACAAAATGCTTATTACATTCAGACAGCAAATGTTGACAGCACTATTTTCACCCCAAAAAAGTAAGTCTTTATTGTGCTCTTGTTAGGTAGTGATACACCATTTTGATCTGTCTGAACAAAGTGATTGCCTGCCTGGTCGCTGTGAAGTTTTAAGCTGCTCAGTGTGATGAGTCAAGTTGAGGATGCCTGACCTAAATGTTCCTATAAAGTCCCATGATTACATTTTGTTCCTGGCTCACATGTGGCATTCAGTTCTATTCTTAGTTGAGCTATTTTGATTTTTACCCTTTCTAAAAGAACGTAATTGTGCGTTTGTTTAAATATCTTGTGGAGTAGGGGTATTTTTTTAAAAAAGTAGTGAAATGGATAATAAGGGTTATCAGTAACACAGAGTTGTTGCAATGCTGTAAAACCATGGTAATGATATGTTGATTTTGCTGCTCTCATCTTCTGAAATATTTGTGCTGTTCAGCATTTCTTTGCTTTTGTTTGTGCCTCTGATGTTGATCCTATGACCAGCTCCTTGGATGCCTGATGTGTTTGGGAATGATGGGTGATAAGTATCACTTAGATTTTCTTAATTTGAAGTAAAAGACACGATTCTAACAAATTCAGACATGCAACTATGGTGATGTGTTGGACATGAAGGAAGACAACAGAGGTGCAAATTAGAGGAATTCTAGTACTGTTGAATAGAGTTTGTGTTTGGAGGAGAGACAGAAATATTCATGTTGATGGATGCACTTTTAGAGCAGTTTTATATTTTAATTGCTTTAAAAAGCACGTGAACAACACTCAAGCAACAAATAAAAATTATGTATTTTATCTGAAGGATACAGGTGGTCTGGAGATGCCACCAGTCCCAACTGTCCCCAAGGGCTGGACTGGGAGCTTTCCTGAGTCTCTTAGTGACAATCCATGACTAATTGTGGGCAGTCATTTCAGCTCTGAGGGCAACACTTGTGGTGGAGGTTCCTGTGATAATCCCCTCTGGCCCTGACTCAGGTGGTGTGTCAGAGCTCCTGCTCAGAGGGAGAATTTCCTTCTGCAAGAGGATGTGCAGAGCATCTTAACATCCCTTGGCATCAAGTAACTTCCAAAGTCAAATGTGACCAAGCCTTAAAATAAGTTCTTGTGGCTTGTTGTAGCGGTGAAGTGGTTCTTAAGGGCAGCCTACAGATTTTAAAGCTAAGCCTAATTTTTAAGCTACCAGTGAAGCTGCCAGGTCTCTTGTTGGGCAGGTGCCCATTTCACATACAGAACTGTGCACCTGATGGATGGGGAATTTCATGGATAAGTACCACGGACAGAGGCGACACAGCCCAGCCTGGGAAACAGGGCGAAGTCAGAAAAACATGAATCCAAATAGATAATACAGCTGGCTCAGCATGGCTGGGATCCAGCTCACACAGGCAGCCTCAATATCCCATTTTCATCACCTCCTAGTGACACCTGGCATGTTGTACCTGTGTTCAGGTAAGGTCTTGCCAGTGGCCAGCACATCCCTTGCCATGGAAGCATTTTGTTTTGTGAGGGACCTCATGTGCTTTTCATCTTGTGAGGTGCTTCTCTGAACTAATCCCCAAATCCTTTCCTCTGCCTGTAAAGGTGAGGAGGGGGGCAGGCAGTTACCAGATCCTAGAGATGCCTTGCAGAGCTGCCATAGCTCAGAATTCCATTCAGGTTTACTGAGTGATCTTTTTTTTCCAAAATCTCAGAGACAGCCGAGCATTGGACATTGGATTGTTGCTTTGTCAACATGACAACCAAACTGTTCAGATGGTCTCCTTAGCTGCTCCTTGGCAGACTGCCAGATGCAGTCTCATCAGGAAAAATCCAAGAGGATAATCATTATCTTGCTGTGTCAACAGCTGGCCTGGTGCTATCACTCACCACGACTTGCTCCGTTAAAGTCTGGGGGAGGTGCTGCTTCCGCTTTATAGGAACTACAAGGAGTGGCATGGAATAATTTGCAGACTTAAAACTTTTTAAAAATTAATCCACTGGAGGTGCCAGGTTCTGGTGAGCAGCAGTATCCATGTGATGAAGTTTTCTCCCAATTTTGTAGTCACGAGGCATCACAAGGAGGGAAGATACTTGCAATGAGACTGTCAGTCACATGTTCTAAGGGTTTCATAACTCAGGTGGCACTAAAATCCTGTCAGTGAACTTGCTTCCCTTATTAATCCTTCATGAATCCCTCTGGTGTGGTCTGTAGACTATTCATTTATAGCATTGTTTTGCCACTGTTGTGTTTCAAAGCATGTTGAAAAATTTGCTATAGTATGTCCTCAAATGTAAGAGATGAGATTTAATTTCCAAAATGCTGTCCAGTACTGTAAGAACCACATCTGTGTAACCATAAATTTGACTTTAGGATGCAGAGAAGCTGTGGTTACTCCTGGATCCCTGGAAATGTCTAAGGCCAGGTTGGATGGGGCTTGGAGCAACCTGGGGTGGTGGAAGGTGTCCTTGCCCATGGCAGAGGGTGGGACTGGATGATCTTTAAGGTCCCTTCCAACCCAAACCACCCTAGAATTCCCTGAATTTAAGTTTCCTGCTTTGCAGGCTCTGTCTCTGTGTAAAAGCTGTTTTCTTGCTTCGATACTGGCAGCAGCCAAGGTTGTGCTTGAAAGAACTGTAGCTGTTTGCATACACAAGCCAAATAATATTCAGCTGGCTGAAATGATCACTGTGATCCCATAAACTCCTGTAAGCAAGGACTGTGGTAGTGGGAACGTGGCTGTTCCGTGGTTAGATGTCACTTTGGGAGAAAAACTTTTCCCATGTTCTGTATTTAAATGAAAATTACACTATACAGAGCTCCACAACATCTCCTCAGAGCTTGCTCAGGAATTACAGCTTGCTTATGGAACTGGCTGCAGACTCCAGGCCTGTGTGGCTGAATATTGTTTTTAAATATTGAGGGCACGAGCTTTTAATTTTTACTGATTAAATATGAATGAAAATACTAAGTTTCTGAGCGAGGATTCAGATCTCTTATTTTCAGGTAGTTACTGCCTTTCTACCCTGGGCTGGTTAATGAGATTAAGGAGGAAGAAGAGTCAGTAGTACAGGAAAAACATTCACCATCTTCTAGACTTTTTTGGGATTGTGTTATGTTCAGTGATTTCTCTCTACATCTTTTCCTCTTCAATAAGTGATGTATTGTCATAGGAGCCAAGTTAATACCACGTAGCCACAGGCCCGTGTTCAAAACACCCAGGGCCAAGTCCTCAGTCACTGCTTTGTCCTTGGAGCTGGCTGCCCACAGCTGACCCAGGAGTTGTCCTGAAAGGTGTGGAATTGGTGGGGATTTGCTCCAAAGCTGATCTTACATCCCTGTGAAGAAGCACAAGTGAGGGAATTTGCATGGAGCTTTTCTCCCCACTTCATTCACCCCTTGGATCTAGTACATTGCAAATAACAGATCTGGAAGTGCTCTGCTTCTCACCCCTTGTTATTTGACTTTATTCTCCCAAGTCCTAAAATTAAAAAAGATATGTCCTAAGCAATCAATTATTGTCACTGTTATAGACCCATTTTTACAGGTTCAATTTTGCCCATGTAGAATTAGATTTCCTTCCCAATGTACATTTTGTTACCTAAGTGTCACAAGTATTTTTCCAATGTTTCCAGCCCGTGTCCCTCTCTAATACTCCAACCATTCTCGTTTGAATTCTGTCCAACATTTCCTGCCAGTCTGCTGCACTTGCAGATGATGAACCTCTCTTACCCCCTAGTGGAAGTATTTTAGTCCTGAGGTTTTTATGGAGCCGTTTTGCTCTAACAAGGCTCAGACTTCCTTGGAAAACATCTTTTTGATGTTTCTGTTGAGTTTAAAACATCACAGCTTCTCCTGCTCACTGTGTAGTATCTTGTCTTACTGTCTATTTATTTTCAGGGACTTGTTTATCAAATTTGTGTTTTGAGGTATTTTAATGACGCTGCATCCAACTTTCTCATTTTGTCCTCCTCTGCAAAAGACCAGATGTCAACTCTTTCTTGCCTAAAGCACTACTTAAATACAATTTCTACACAGTTGCTTAGATAGGTCACAGAGTTTATGCAAGTTACTCCTTGTCTTTGGCCCTTGGTAAATGTGGGGATTTATATTTCTGATACTTTTCTAGGCATTCTGCATTTCAAACAGTCTTAAGAAGAGATTGATTTACAACTGAGGAAAGCCTGAAATTACTTGACTTGAATCTGGGTTTGATTGCAGTTGCTGCAGATGAATTCTATTCTTAATATCAAGAGGAAAAAACCACTAGCACTGAACTTTGGCAGCTTTTCCCTCCTTCATTATTTAAATAATAATTTCAGCTTCGGGAAATCGAGCATAAACGAGATACAAAATTAATTTATTTAACAACATTTCAGGAGGAGGGATGGGACTTCCACAGACAAGTTTCAGATGCTTTGAGTATCAATGGTAATAGAGCAGCTATGTTCCTCATGATTATAATAATTTTCATTTCAAGGAGGTATTTGTGCTCTGAAGATTTGCACAGGGCTTTTTTTTTTGTAATATTCCCGGCGTGGTCTCAAATGTTCAAAGCAGCAGATAGGGTTGCAAAGACATTTTCCATGTGCATTAGCATTGCTGATCAAATTTAGATGGCTCTCCTGCCAGAAATGTCTCAAACAGGCCTTGAATTTAATCCTTTTGGGTCAGCAACTTAGTCCCTGACTCTACAAACAAACACATGGCACGATATTTTCAAAAATGAACAGTTTTTAGTCTATAGTCATCTTTCTGTTCTGAATTTCCTTATGGGATGATTTTCACAGTCCTCATTTGCCTTATTTAAAAAATAAGTTCTTTGTGGTTTGCAGATAAAACAAGGTGTGTAGTCATTGCTGTGTCAGTATTATTCCCTTACTTGTTTCTCTTTTCTACCACCCATTTGCTGGATTAATTTTTCTTTTAAACTTTGTGGCATAATTGGAGGTCAAAGTAGACAGGTTTATGCTGATGAGGGCACCAAAGCCTCTTCCTCCTCTAAAATCATAAGGAAGTATTTTGTCAAAGGGAGTCTGAGAATGAGTTAGCCAAATATATTCCAGTTTCTGTTTAAATTTACATGAGAATTAAGCATTTAATTTTTTTTTTAAAGAAAGCTTAGGTTTTGTGGTGTTGCTAAATTCTTCACCAGGGGCTAAAATTGTAGAAAACCAAATTCTACTCAGAATTTTTAAATTCCTTTATTGCTTTGCTTGCCTAACAAATGAAAGGAGTGAAGCGTGAGAATGAAACCAGTTACAGAATGGGTTTCCAAAATACCATTTTGTGTATTCCCCAGCGGCAATATTAAATGCTTTATTAATGTTGGGCTCGTTTTCTAGGCCATGGGTGCAATCGAGTTAATTGCAAGGAAGAATTTGCAAAATACAAGAGTTCTGAGAATTTTTCATGCCAAAATCTTGACCGAAGGCCAGGAACCTTTACCAGCCTTTGTAAACTGACCCAGAAAGAGAAAGGAGACAAACAGGATCTGTAAACAAAGATCACGTGCCCTTCACAAATACATTTTGGAAGGATGGTTGCCTAGGGAAACAGGAAACGGGGAATTACACAACAAACAAAAAGGACTGCCAAACAAATTTGCTGACCTTTTTTTCGGGGAATTATGATGAAAAGTATTGGAATCCGCAGGATTTCACCATATTTCTAAATCCGAAGGTGGGACAGAAGAATAGTTTGGTAATTACGCCACAACTATTCAGAAAATACAAAAAGCTTCTTTGACATCTTTGTCCTGCAGGGTTGTGTTCTATAGAATTGTGAGGTCATCTTGAGTTTTTTGGAGTTTCCCAGCTTTTGCAATTAAGCTTTCTGGAATCAATGCTTCCTTTTACAGATGAGATAATAACAAAATCACTCCATTCATATTTGTAAGGGTCATCTGGTCATTTAGCTCCATGTTAGGCAGCTTAATCCTCATTTCTGAGCTGCTAGTCTCCCAAATGACTCTGTCCATATCTTTTCCTAGGAAACAGCAGCTCTCAGAACGATTTGTTTTTTGTTCCAAGAGTCAGAGATAGGAAGAGGAGAATTTTCATTGGACTTGGCTTTAACAGGGAAGAAGCTGGCCTGTGGATGATGATCTGCTGAATTGCAGGGAGAAGGAAACTCATTTGCCTGATGTTTGCATCCCTTCCTGCATCTTCCATTGTTTCCAGCATGTAACTTTTATTTTCTTTTCTCAGTTCCAATGACAGGTTTCACTCAAAGGGCCACCATTGATCCTGAATTGAATGAAATCCACGTCTTATCAGGGCTCAGTAAGGACAAAGAGAAGAGGGAAGAGAACGTAAGGAATTCCTTCTGGATTTATGACATTGTGAGGAACAGCTGGTAAGTCCAAAGTTCTGATTTCCACACCAACTTTATTTAGAAAGCAGTCCTGTCTCCCTAAGATAACTGTCACCTCTGTTAAGCATGGAATTGTTGAAAGTTGTGGAAGACAGCTGAGTTCCCTTGAGGCACCTCTTTTTCCCATTGTCTTTAGAGGCACCATGGCAATAATCCAAATGAGGGAGAGAAATCATGTGAACATCTTTATTGGAGCCAGGTGGAGGAGATGAGGGGAAGTGAGCAGTTATAAAAGGCTTTTCCTGTAGGAAGGGTTCAAGGCCAGGCTTTAGGACAAGTGCAGCAAATTCAGTCCAGTGTAAGTTGTTAATTGCAGTGTACATGGCTCTAGTTCTTAGAAACTGAGGAAACTGGTGTAAGTGAATGGTGATGGAGAAATCTCTGTGCCAGATGGGATATTCTGAGAAAATATCTCCTGGTTTTTTCACTGAGTTGTACTCAGTAGCTCCTTGCCACTGTTTCTTTCCAGACCTGGCAGAGATTTTGTGTTCAAGACCTCTTCTAAAGTGGGGTCAATCACTTCAAAAGATGTGAATGTTGTTTTTTAGAAGTGAATTCTCAGTTAAAACTTATGTCTGCTTAGAAATTGCTGACTGAAATACCACCTCTGCTGTAATCTGTGGTCTAAGGCTCTACTTGGTCCAAGATGTTTTTTTCCATAATAAAAAAATACTTTGTGTTGACAGTTCTGTAGGCAAATAATGTAATGTCTGAAGAGATACCCAAAGCTCATGACAAATGATTTTCTAGAACTTTTTCCTGTTTGGCTTATGTTTGAGGACTGTTTTCAGCCAAGGTGATCTCTGGTTGCTGGCTGGGTATTTTGTAGAACTAAGAATGGGATGGGATAATAAAGAACAACATAGATAAAAGTAAGAAAATCATTGGTGTTTTACATCATTTGTACCTTCCAGCAACTTTTCATGCTTCCTGTAGGTACAACTAATAATTCCTTACTACTTTGAATTTCAGGTCTTGTGTGTATAAGAATGACCAAGCAGCAAAAGAGAATCCAGGTAAAAGCCTTCAGGAAGAGGAGCCCTGCCCAAGGTTTGCCCATCAGCTGGTGTACGATGAGTTGCACAAGGTATGAAGTGATNTGGTGTACGATGAGTTGCTTTTTTTTTTTTTTTTTTTTTTTTTTTTTTTTTTTTGTTAGTCTTTTTGCTCTTAAGATATAGCTATTTACTTAAAGATGGTTCAGTAAATGTACTCTTTGAACGTTCGGATTAATATGGTGAGTAACTCTCACTTCACTTCTCATATTTTGAAATAAGGTGCTAAACTACTTTTTTTTTATGTCAATATGAAGTAAACATTTGTGTTCTCACACTTCAGAGCACACAAAGTTTAATTCATTATCCTTAGGGATTTAATCTCACCTGTTGGTGACTAAATGAGAAGAGATAGTTACCAAATTTCTAGGAAAAGATGTGTTTGAATGAACTAATCACAGTTAAAAATCCTCTGAACCAGAGGTGCCTGACTTTGCCCTGCATATCAGAAGCAGCTGTCATTCTTTAGCACTGTCAGCCTCCAATGGACACATTCATACTTAAATATACTAAACCAAATTTTAAGTCTATTTGACAGCTCAGTAAACTTAGGGCAGGCTTTGTGCATATTAACCAATAAAGCATAAATCCACAGATTAAGTTCATAAATTCATTAACTCATGAATTTAAATTACTGTGGCACATTTACTGATCCTTTCATAGAATTCTCTAAAAATTCTCCCTAGTCTGAAACAGTCTGAGTTAAAGAAAAATATGTTTTAGTCTTGCAGTCTGTGGGATGTTAATCAAATTTGGGAAATCCAACTAGCCCAAAACTTGACAATAAGAGGGATTTTAAGGAGGAATGGGTGCACATTCATTATGGAGAAATTGCATTGTTTGTTGTCTTCACTGTAATGATACAGTAAATAAGTAAATACTGTTCTACCTTTACTTGGAGGTGTAAGGCACCATGAGACAGAGTAGTATTTTCTGAGGTACTCTGAAGGTTGCTAAATCATTGCAGTTGCCCAGCTTTATCTGAGGAGCTGTTTGATGTGCTTGTTTTGAAGAGTCTTATTTTTAGAAACCTCTGTTCCAATGACCTTTCTAAACTCCTCTGATATAAATAAGGAGAGCCTACAGCAGTGGGATGCAGAATACATTGTTTTGAGTGATTATTTTTAAAGCCGTGGGGAAAGGTAGCCTGTTGGACTTGTTAAACTTCAGTATTTGAAGGTCCTTTGTAGCATGTTTAATATCAACAGTTCAGAGTCTGAAATTACCACATGATGGGAAGAAAAATGTAGCAAAGAAATAAACAGTCCTTTTGTGTCACTTCCACTCTTCTGGAAATTTGCCTCTCTCTGTAAGTCTGGATTATGCTGGCCTGGGCTTGCTGTCACTTTATTTTGAATGTCTTTAGGACTTCCAACTCACTTTGTCAGTGCTTAAGGATTATCATTTTCATAGGCTTTTCCTAAAGAGTTTGCATGAATTTTGGATGTTTATTTATAAACATCTCACATGTTTGCTAGAAGGATGTTCCAACAGTACAACTCTTTTATTATCTTAAAATGTGATTAGTTTAAGAGAACTTTTTTCATCTTCAAGGGGACAAAGTGAGGCTAATAATAAGTTGGAGCAACTTGTCTAAATAGCAGAGTTTCTCCCACCAGAATAAACCTCTGCAAAGCTGCTGACATAGTAAATTGTCTTTGTTCAGTGGATTTACACAAACAATCAATTTTTTGATCTGCCTCTCATTTTCTTAGGTTCATTACTTATTTGGAGGGAATCCTGGTAAATCCTGCTCTCCAAAGATGAGATTAGATGATTTCTGGTCTCTGAAGCTCTGTCGACCTTCAAAGGAATACCTGCTAAGACACTGCAAATACCTCATCAGAAAGCACAGGTATAGAAACAAAGGTGGTTTGCAATTTTCTTTTCCAGGTGTCTCCTTTTTTTTTCAAGTTGCTAAGATTCAAATCTCTCGTAGACCATTTTGTGAAATGTCATTTTATTGGTTATATGGAACTAGATGATCTTCAAGATTCCTTCTAAACCTGCAGGTTTCTTGATTATTTTTAAAAATTATTTTAATAAAAAGCAGTGGGCCAGGGCTAAACTACAAAATTAACTGATTCATTTTGCCTATGCTATTCTAAAACTAGAAAAATTCTGGTTATTGTGTGGGGAGTCATGGGGAATTTTTAGATTCTCTTTTCACTCTGCTGCTCATCAACATGTGTTTTGGTGCTGTCACCTCCCAAGGAAATGGAGTATGTTTTGGAAACACTGTGCTTGAAGATAGTAACAGCCTGCAAGGATGCTAATGAAGTCTGGGGGCTGGATGCCTTTGCACATCTGAGACTCAACTGTGGTGAGGTCATCAGAGTTTCTCATTCAGAAACTCCTGAAAGAGCTCACTTAGGCAGAATTCAGCTACACTGCAATGCTTCTTGCATTCTGGATGCTTCAGAGCTGCCTTATATTTCTTATTTAGGGCAACAGCTTTTCAAAATCAAGCTTATGGTGTTACCTTAGTCAAGAAATTGCAGCAGTGAGAGAGCCTTTCAGGACCCAGCAAATCATTTGAAGGCAGTAAATAGCTCTCCCTGCATTCTGGGGGAGAATACTTTGTTATCAGGCTCTGCCAAGAGAGTTGGAAGGTCAGGTTTTCCTGATGGTATTTTATTTCTGAGGCAGCAAGCAAATTGCTGTACTCAACTCACAGCCACTGTGGCTGGGTGAGACACTGAGATTAGCCACACAGAAGATGTGAATAGCTACAAGAATGAATAAAGAAAGGCCTTCCCAGTTATCTGGGAGGCTTTTAAAACCCGGATGTGGTGGTATGGAAATGCAGCTGTGCAGCCTTCAGAGACAGCTCTGCATTATTTCTTTCTACTTGCTTAAATTGCACTTGAAAGAAATGTTGCTGTGTATTAATCTGGCAGAAGTTTGGGATTTATGCACCATGCTCCTATTTTTGGGGTCTATGTGAGGGATCCAAACCTGAGCAGCCAGGGATGGTTGGGATGAGTGCCTGGCTGGAGCTGAATTGAATTGCTGTGGAGTCACTGGCTGCCCTTTACCTGCACTCCCCCAAGCTCTGGGTACCAGAACAGGAACTGTCCCTGCATCCACAGCAAACCCACAGCATCAGCTGGGGTCCTGTTTTTCCTGTGAACTTGTTCAGTACCAGTCAGCCAAGCTGGGCAGGTGGAAAAGAGCAAGGTGGCAGTGGTTCCACTTATTTAAAGCACTTCAGCTCTCTGGGCCATGATGATGTCACCTGAGAAAATCTATGGCAGTGCTTGGAACCATGTGTAGTGACCAAACTGTAAGGTGCATCAGGTGACAGACAGGGTCTTTGTGCTCCCTGTGCTGCTCAATCCCTGACATCTTTAAGGCAGTTTCAAAATTCAGGCTACACATGTCCACTGTGGTATAAATAGCCAGGTAGATGACCCAAATAAAAAAATAACAATATGAGAAGATGAGAAACAGTGTGATACTGCACTCAGTGGGTAGGTGAGGTGAGGAAAAAGATAATTTTAAGCCTCATCCTTTCTAGACTTATGCAACCAAAACAGTGCTGCAGGGAAGTAGCTCTGCTCACTGAGGATGCTGAGCCCAGAGCTATTTCCTGAGGGCTCTGCTCACTTCTTGAGGGAATTCACAGAAGTTGCAGTTCCTGTTCATGAAAAGAAAATGAAGAAATAATGGTGGTGGTGCACAGGATTGTTACAGAGTTGTGCTCTTTCCAAAGGTGGGATTTTAATATCCCAGGGACTGAAGTGCTCAAGGCTTGCCTGTAAGGTGCTCACACCTTACTTCATTTGTGGAAAACAAGCTGTACTCAATATTTTATATTTATGTATTAAGAAGTTTCTGTGCAAATGCTTTTGTTGAATATTTTTAGTAAGAATGTAATATTTTGCCCTTTTGCACTCCTTTAAACCCAAAAGAACCCCTCTTCAATCATTCTGTCTGGCCTGAAATTCCAGTGAACACGAGGCTCAGTTGCCATTAGTGTGGTTTTCTTTGGAAATACTGGGTTTGTTAGATGGGGTTTACTCTCTGTAAACCAGTAGTACTTAGTCCTGAAGGAAATGGTTGTGCTCAAGTGTTCTGTCTCTTCTCTGCAGGTTTGAAGAGAAAGCTCAGACTGACCCTCTTAGTGCACTGAAGTACCTGCAGAATGATTTATATGTAACTGTGGATCACTCGGACCCTGAGGAGACAAAGGAGGTGAGGATCAATGGTCCTTGTCCTAAAGAAATTTAAACTGTGTTCTCATTGAAAGTTTTGAGCCTCTTAAACCTGGGTTTTATTCAGTTTATAAAAGCTCTGCAGGTGCCAGACAGTTGCTGTATCATGTATTTCTCTGCATTTAAGTCACACTGTTTTGGAAACAGTCATTTAACAACTGCAGGTCCAGATAAAATAGCTTTTGTACTCCTAAGAGTGAAGACTAAGCCTTTGTTTTAATTCCAGTGTGCTGGTGTATATTTTGGGAGCTTTAATTGAAATGTAAACTCTCTTAAATGTCACCAGTCTGTAGTTGGTTGTGCAGTAGAAAGGGAATAGAAACTTGTGCTCAGGCTTCTCAATATTCAGCATCTCTGGGGAGGGAAAGCTTTCCAAAAGATGATCAATATTTCTGGAAGTAGTTTATACCTATACATTGCTGCTACTCTTAAAATCTTGTCTCCTTTGCCTTTTGAATATTATCCAGTAGACATCTTCTTTATTTATTCCAGGAATTTGTTCCCATTTCCTGTGTTGATTCCAGTACCACAGTGCGTGTCACTTTACAAAACAGATTAAAGAAATAGTGAGAAGTGTCAGATAAGGTGGTTGATTTGACTCTGGCATTCATTTCCACGTGGAATTTGGGGCAGCCAGCTGAGATGTGCCAGCATTCAGTTCCTGATAGGTAGATAAGGAAAAGTCTGGGGTTCTTGCTGTCTTCTTTCCTTAATGACTTGGAAAGGGATTTGACAGCTCCTTTTATAAAATCGTGATAGGAAGAGGGGCAGTTCTATTCCATGCTGAGTCCCTGGATTAAATCTCTTAATCTGGTGGCTTTAACTTCCTACTTTAGCTAAAGAAAAGATTATACAGACACTGAAAGGTCTTGGGGGAGAACATGCTTCTTGCTTGTGTGTGCACAGGATGGAATTGTAGGGTTAGAATTAGGAAAAAAATTTACTCTTATCAGGATCTTGGAAGAGATCACATTCGTCATAAATTCTAATCAGCCTTTATAAACATGTGATTCAACAAAACATTTAAGTACTGTGACTCTCTGTTCTCTCTAAATTGTTTCTTGTTCAAATTGTTCCATATCAAGTAGTTTCACATCCTTTCTAGTTATTTCTAGCATAGGAAAGACAATAGATGGATCCTGCTTTTTTTAACGTAGAAAAGGAGATTTCTTTTTTTCCCCAGTATGTGCCATCATTCCCAGTGTGGTAACGCTTCCAGAGTCTCTGAGGTTGGAAAAGACCTTTAAGGTCATCAAGTGCAACCGTTGCCCCAGCACTGCCAAGGCCACTATGTCCCCAAGTGCCACATCTGTTTGGCTTCTAAATACATCCAGGGATGGGGATGACACTTCCCTAGGAAGCTGTGCCAGAGCTGGACAACCCTTCTGATGAATTTTTTCCTGATTCCCAGTCTTAACTTGAAGCCATTTCCTCTTGTCCTGTATTTTACTACTTGGGAGTGACCCTCACCTGGCCGCCCTCTCCGGTCAGGGAGTTGAGCAGAACCACAAGGTCCCCCCTGAGCCTCCTTTTCTCCAGGCTGAGCCCCTTTCCCAGCTCCCTCAGCCTCTCCTGGTGCTTCAGACTCTTCCCCAGCTCAGTTCCCCTCCCTGGACACACTCCATCCCCTCGGTGACTTTCTTGTTGTGAGGGGCTCAAAACTGAACCCAGAATTCAAGGTTTCTTCTTCCTGTTTGAGGCTGTACTAACCCATACAGTACAACCCCTCCCCCATTCTGAGGCTTTCTTTTCCCCTTCTGCTCTCTCCCACTCCTGTAAGATGTGTCCTGTATCCTCTGATCTCCTTTTTTCTCCATGTCACACCTGTGTGCTTGTAGCTTGTCTCTCCTCAGCCAATTATTCTTAAGGAGATCTTGCATCTCATGGCTGGCTGGGCCTTTTTATTATTCCCTGAACTGCAAACATCTGTGATGTGATGAGCAAGCTCCTCTCCTAGTTCCTGCTGCCTCCTGTCGCCCACAGACCAAAAGAGGTGCTGCAGAAGCTGCTCATGGGCACATCTGGCACAGGAAAGCCTCTAATATCCTGCTTTTCCTTTTCCCACTTCAGTGTTCAACTTGTCCACCTTGCAGGAATGGAGAATTTACGACTGCATGGGCTTCTCTGAGATTTTGGGGGAATGTAGAAGCTGTATCATACCAGGTAGAAACAGAATAAAATGTTTGAAAAAAAAGAATTACCCCTTTTCAGAAAGCTCACTGGTGTTCTGAACATTAATGATCCAGTGAATGAGCTTACATAGCTCAATCCAGCTGAGTGAATACATTGTGGATTCTTTCTCTGCAGGCCTAATGTCTGATCCAAACAAAATCCAATAGCTTGTGTCTGTTGTGCTGGGCCATCGGATCAGCACACACCATTCAGCAGAATTAAAGCTTCCAGCCATCTCCAAAAATAATTTAACAGTTTCTGGGACGCTTTTGTTTGGGTTTTGGGTTTTTTGTTTTGTTTTTTTTCAATTTTAATTATTATTCATTGTGCTGGTCATAAAGCTTTAACTTCCAAAGCTTTTTTACACAGGGACAGATCTGCCAGGGCTGTGGCACAGAGCCAGCTGCTGGGCTGGTACTGACTGGGTGCATTTCCAGTTGACGTCAATTTACCTTCCGGTTATCGCATCGAGTTGGCTTTTTGCTCTGGCATTGCATCTTCAAATGGCTCCTGTGCTTTCCAAAGGACTGACGCAGGCATTTTGGATTCCATATCGAATTTCAAGCACCAGTTTGATTGTGTCTCTCAGCCCAGACACCTCTGTACCCTGCCTTTATTTGATTTGTATCTCGATTAATAGCAAAGGTGATAGATGTGATTGGCTGCAGCCATTGAATGCTGTAAGGCTTCTTCGAGCTTTAGGGAATCAATTCCTGCCTGTTTTCCCTCTTTCCAGGGCTACTGTTAAATTTGGGAAGCACCAGGCTGAACAGTTTTATCCCCAACTTGGTGCAATAATTCTGCAGACTGGCCTGTATGGCTTCATGTTTTATGGATGGAGATCTGGGTGGTGTTATATACCATTACAAGCAGAATTTCCCCTTGTGGTGAGGCTTACTTGCTTTGTAATAGAAGTAATTCCTTCTAACTTAATTAGGCAAGTCTGTTCAGCTGTTTGCAGTTGGATGCCAAGGAAAACAAACAGACTGTTCTTGAAACTTACTTTGGCATTAGTAACCGATTTTGTTTAAAGTAGCATGAATGATTGATAGTAGGAACATACCCCAAGATTTTCATTCTGTTGCTGTGAATTTTAGGGATGCTAAGAGGACTAGATTTTTATTTCCTTTTTTTATTACTCCGAAATGAAGTAGATGTCTGCAAGTAAGAGGTATTGCATGGGTGCTTGGTTTAGTAGCCACAGGCTGTGTGCCAGCAATTTCTCTGCCCACAAATGCAGATCCAGTTCTCTTTAACTGTGATTCTGCTTAATATCACTTAAACCTCCTCAGTCAGTTCAGTGTTCCCAAATCAGTGACTCTTCTTACTGGTTAATAGCCCTGACCCTGTAGGAAAAGGAGGGTAAGTCCCTAGAAAATGGGGAATTTTACCCGTGATTTAACAGATTAAAAGTTGTATAAAAGGGTTATTTGCTGGTGTAAAATTTTCTGCTGGCCTGGCTGTTCTTCTCTTGCACACACAGATGTGAATTTGGTGGTAGATTACAACAGCAGGCTTTGAAAGTTAAAAGGATGGTCAAAATAAATATCAAATTGAAATCCAAATTTTGTACTCAGAGAAAAACAGGTGCTGTTAAAGCACAGAAACATCAGTAGTTCATGTAAAAAAGAGATGCTCCTTGAACACTGCAGCAATCAGACCCAGAACTTTGCTGCTGTTAAATGGGCTGCAGTAGAAATCAAGATGACACAAAAAAATGTCCAGTGCTTTCCACGTACAGGAGATCAGGATGATTTTGTACATGGAGATTCAACAACTGATGTAGCTCAATCCCATGAATGTTGTAAAACAGATACAAAGCACAAGGAAAACTCACAGTATGTTTTTCTTGGAGCATGGTAGGAGAAAGAGCAAGGACCTGGAGGCCAATCTGAGGCCTGACTTGCTTGTAGACTGAGGCTGGAGGCCCCTGTTCAAGGCTGCTTCATACTTTCCATTCTTAAGACCTTGTCTCTAATAAATTTGACAGATAAAGCCAGCAGGGCCCGAAAGTATTGTTTGAATCTGCATTAGACTGATATTTCTGGGAAAATTGATGCCCAAATGGGAAAAGTAGTTCTAGGAAGGAGCTAAGAAAAGCCTGTTTCTCTTCTTTGTGTCCTGCTGTGATTCTTTGTAAAGCCTCAGAGCCTGTGTGCTGCAGGAGCAGAGCTTTGGAGCCAAGGAGCCTTTACAAAAACAGCGTTCAGCCTTCCCAATTTCAGTGACAGCTCTGTCCTCAAAGGGTCTGAGCCTCTCTTTGCCTCTTTGAGCCTGTGCTGGGAGTCACCAGCCCCCGAGAGCTGGTCAAAGCTGAGGAACTGGTTTATGCTGTGCTCTGAGCACTCACACACAGGCATTACAGAGGAGGAGGAATTGTGTCTGATTCATACAACCTGCCAGGTATCCCAAACGAGAGTTACTCATTCCCCCTTAATCATTCAGTTTGTGCAAAGGCAGAGGTGTGCAGCAAATACCTAAAAATAGACATAGTGTAACCTTTTATTAGTTAGCCAGATCTGTTTATCTCTGAGGAAGCCCTGCCTCTGTTCAGAAGGTTGGTTGGATCTCCGAGAGAGAAGTTAATTGTATAACAAAGGGAACTGCTGTCTTTTGAGTAGAAACTTAATTTGGAATGGATGAAGCCAGTGAGCCAGAGGGATTGTCAGAAGAAAATGGGTGGTGGTGTGATTGAAGCAGTTGGATGCTTCTGCTGGATAATTGAATTCTGCTCTTGCCTCTATAACAGAGTTGCTGTGTGATATTAAGCAAATTGTTTTTCCTAGATGGTCATTAATTGGATGTTTCATTCTGGTGCCTGATGGGAGAGATCTGAGGTGTGATTTGCTTGAGGGCTTTGCTTTTCTGTGAATTCAGAAGCTGTTGCATAACACTACATATTTTGAAAAATCAGATACTGTTAGTTTCAAATAGACCCAAAATTAATCAGAGTTTGAAGTGCCATCTGTTAGAATAACAATTAATATGATAAAAAAGTCGATGAAGAAATTAATTCCTTCTTTAGAGCAGAGCTTGAACTTTGGGAAGAAACTAGTATATTGGATATCTGCTGGGAATGGGACAGTGAGTAACTATCCTATGCTTTGGGAAAAAAGTAGGGATCCTTTGGGAGAACATTGTAAGGTTTGGGATCATAATACAAATGCAGAGTGAACCAGCTTAGGCTCAGCACTGTCCTTAACTGATGCTTTTAACTCACATGCTTGACTTTTCCATCAGAAAGTGCTTTTCAAGTGTGAGCTGATGCACAAATTTAATTACAAACCAAACAAACAACAACCCTCAAGGTTAAGTCAAGTGCTGTGCCATCAGTGGAGAAGGAAACAAGATCCTCCTTCCCCACAAAGCTGCAAAGAAACTCATAGCCATGAAAATCCATCATGCCTGGTGCAGATGAGGCTGGAATACTTGGCAGAGACCACTTTCAGCGAGGTTTTGGTTCTCAGTTCAGTGAGTTCCTGGCTGAACCCTGCTCCTCTGGCCTCTTATTCAGGCACCTGAGCCCCAGTGTGGCTTTGTGCTCCCAAGCAGGGCCGTCCTGCCGGAGCACAGGAACCCCTGGAAGCACGTGGCATCTGCTTTATCCCAGCTTGTGTGCCACCAGGCAGCTGGCAGTGGGCCCTGAGGCAATTGTGTGGGAGGGAAGGATGGCCAGAGCGTGGCATTTGTGCTCAGAAGCCGCACGGATTTAGCCACGGATTTTATTGGAACTTTTGGAGCTATTTCTGCTGGGCAGCTGTTTAAGAGCGGTGCTGCTGGGAAGCCAAGCTGCTCTCACGAATGAGGCTCACGGTGGAATCCACGTGTGGCATTGCAGTGATTTTGTGTAACCAGGCCTTACACTCAGGAGGGCACCTTACACCCCCTTCCCCCTCATCTCCAGTTTGTCAGTCCTGTATCTTTCTCACCATACCCTCCCCAAAGCATGCAGACTTAATCCCAGAGCACTCCAGTCCTTATTTTAGCCTGTTTTTTCCCTTGATGTCACACTGAATCTGATCTCACTAAAGTGTTTTTGTAGCTTCTTGCACTTGGTTGTAGTAATCTACTTTTTCTAGCAGCCTTTTGCATCTCTGACTTCTGGCAGTTTTGTGTTTGGCTACTGTTCTGTGGAGGCTCTGCAGCCCTGACTCCTTTGAGCTTTCTTCATATAACTTGGTTTCCAGAACGCTTAAATTTTTTTCCTGGTGCTTTCCTCATATGTCACTAACTGATACAGGGCATCCCAAAATGGGTGCCTTATTGTAGAGGAGACTTTAAAACCTTGATAACAGCAAGAGTATTTTATTTAAAGATTCTACTCCTTTTCATGCATTTGTCAGTTTTATAATGAAGTGATACTGATCTGTTGTAGCTCCTAAGTGCATTTTCACAGAGCCTCTGCACCTGTTCTGTATTGCTGATTTTTCCTGTTTATGTTGATTTGCACTTGGCCCTGGTGAAATGCACCTCAATCCATCATTATAATTTGGATTAAGTGGAAAAACAGTTGGAAGGCTGTCTGTTCCATGCTGGCAGTCAGTCTGAGTGTGGTGTAAGGTCTGGTGATCCTGCCCTGTTCTGCCAAGCAGGTTATCACTGCAAACTCAGGGTGATGCTGACCCTGGGGCACAGATGAATCACTCCTGATTCAAGGCTCCATTTTGATGTCAAATCATTGATGGCCACCCACAGTTAAGTTATTTGACCTGTTTGCCTTTCCCTGTTGGCTTAATCTAAGTGATGCCTTGACAATGTGCCTTAAATATCAAAGTGTTAGAATTTCTATGAAAGTCAGAATGGACAAAGTCTATTGCCAAGTCCCATCCCTAGGGCCTTCTGCCTCATAGGAGAAATCAGATTGATGTGCTACAACTTGTTGTTGCCAAATTCACGTTGGCTGCTACTCATCACCTTCTCCACTCCTACATGCCTACAAATTGTCTGTGTTCCCATTTTTTCTTGAAATTGAAATTAAACTGATGGATATGTAATGCCTGGCTGTTCTTTCCTCTCCTTCCCTGAACATATTTGCTTCTCTTCTGTTTTTTTTTCTGCCTTCTTTTCTTTCAGGCTGTGTGCTGAAAAGACACACAGGCAGGAGACACAAGATTCCAAAGCTTTAAGGAATCAATTCTTTCTTTGCAGGACCATGACAAAGCACTAAGCTTTGCTGTTCCTTGGGTAACTGGAAACAGCAGTCAGGGGCAGAGGAAGACACTGTGGTCGCTATCTATCAGTGAGACATGAAGGGAGAATAAAACCATGAATGTGTTAATTAAAATGTTTTTATTCATAGTCTTGATGTTCCCAAACAAAGAATTTTTATTTTTAGTTAGGAATATATTGCTTTAAGTTTGTGATGTGAGATCTCTGGCAGTTCAGAAGAGTTGTTGTCATTCAAATCATAGAGTGGTTTGGGTTGGATGGGACCTTAAGGATCACTGAGTTCCAAAGCCCCTGCCATAGGCAGGGATGCCACTCATCAGATCAAATCACTCAGTCCAACCTGGCCTTGAACACTGCTGGGGTTGGGGCATCTGTAGCTTCTCTGGGCAGAGCTTTCTCTGTGTTCAAGAAGTTCATGCTCACTCCAGCAGTTACCCTGTTTTTGTGCCATCTAATCCCTGGCTGCTGAGCATGTACCATGTTAATCCCTGGGAATGTTATTGGATGGAAGGGACTCTACCTTCTGCCAAAGAGGCACAAAATTGTATGTAAAAAATTAGATTTTTAGAGCTCTCAGTCAAATACCTTTCATTACATCAACACTGCTCTAATTCTAGGAAAAAACATCTAACTTGTGCCAAGGTGACAAATTGTAGTGCTCATGTGAAAGTGCCTGCTGCTGTTATTCATGTGTATGGCACAGGAGTTATGAGGATTGTGTAGAGAAAACACAGCAACACTAAAGCTACTTGTACTTCTATGAATCCTTTGGGGTTTTTGCCTGTGTGGTTAATAACATCTTCTTCTTTCTTTGTCCCTTTACCACTTCTGCAGTTTCAGCTTCTTGCCTCAGCATTATTTAAATCTGGCTCGGATTTCACGACTCTTGGTGAGTATTGTGTATCAGAGGAATTACATGATGTTCCCTTTGATAATTACTTTTAGTTTCTACTGTTTTTTATATCAAATGTTATAGTTCCTATCAACATTGCAGGCTCTTTTCAATATGCAAAGTGCCACTACCCAGACATTTGAGAGGTTATTTATAATGACCAGCATCCAATGCCTCAAGCCCATATTTAAAACATCTGTCAACATCAGTGGTTTTAAACCAATGCCTCCTGGGATCATTTTGTATCTCTTATTACATCTGATCCTTCACTGTTACCCAAGTAAACAGAAGCTTTGGTCAGAATAAAGCACCTCCTGTCATGTCACTTTGGAATCTCACAGCATGGCTACGGCTCTGTTTGCTGTGATAACTGCAATTCCTGGAGTAGTTTGGTTCGCTCTGTTCTCTGCAGAACGAGTTCTTTGGGCAGAGTGTCAAGAGTGGAGAAAACAGTGGCGTGAAGGGCTGGAAACAGGAGGGCTGAGCCAAAGCCATGATTTGTTTCACTGCTCTGTCCAGTTAACTCTTTGAGAGATCTCAGACTCATCCTGGACAAGCTATAGGAAAGCTACAGGCAGAAATTACATCCTTGTACTGCTGGGGTGTCCTCAAGTCACTGAGCTCTCGCTAAGAGGATGGATGACTTTAATTTTTGATGGAGATATAATTCCCAATCTAAGAAATTGAGGGAACGCTAAAGCCCACTTTAATGTTAAAGCCCAGTTCTGCCCTGATGGATGAGGAAGTTCTGCTGAGTTCCTGTGGTTTGGAAGACATCAAGTTAGTCCTATAAGATCAACTTTTTTTAAAGAAAGAAAACCCAAGTTTCAAAAAAGTTGGATTTTTCATAGACTCGTGGAATGGTTTGGGCTGGAAGGGACTTCCAAAAGTCATTTAATTCCAACTCCCTCTGCCATGGGCAGGGACACCTTCCCCTGTCCCAGGTTGCTCCAAGCCCCATCCAGCCTGGTCTGGGACACTTCAGGTACGAGACATCCACAGCTTCCCTGGACAACCTGTGCTATTGCTTCACCACCCTCAAAACTTTTCCCTAGTTTTAAGCATTTTAAAAGATGAATTAGTTCCTGACTCAGTAGAATACTTTATCCAGATTTTGGGTTTACAGATAGGAGGATGTGAACATCAAGAAATGCTTTGAAAATAAAAACCCCATCCCTCCTTGATTTGATTAACTTGGTTGACTTTGATTAACTGAAGAGTTGAGTTCACTGAATTAAGAAGCATTCCTTTGAGATAGCAGCAATGGAAGTAATCCAAAGTGGAGGAGATCGTTGCCTTATTGTTCTTGCTGATAGTTTTAGTGTAGGATTTGGATAAACAATGCAAACCAAACCCTGCTGTGTTGGGAGGCAGCACTCCAGAAACCAGTTTGCAAAGCTCCTGTGTGCCAAGATGCAGCCAGGTGCAAGTCCAGTGAGTAAATACCAACTCTGAGTTGGGACTCCTGCTGTCAGCAGAGCTTATCTCAAGGAAAACTCCAAGCAGTCCAAGGAGCAGTTCTGGTTATGGCAGTGAAGATAATGAAGAAAGCCTGAGGACAGAAGAAATGAGGCACCAAATAAAAATAGCTACATGGATTTTGTTTTCTGGGACATCAGAGCAGTCCCCTGAGAACTCCTGCTTTCCCCGTTTCTTTGGGGCTGTCAGTGAGCTTGACAGGCGTTTGTTTATTACTTTTTATGGCATTTTGATGGCAATGCTGGCTTGGGGTGACATAATCTCTGTATGTGTGCTCACAGTAGTGGGACAGAGAGCTGGCAGCCTTATTCATGGAGGCAGAGGGAGCTGCTAACATTTATCCCAAATGGCCAATTCCACAGCTAAACTGCGTGTTTGGGATTGGGAGGAGTGTCTTACTTTCCCCTGTTCTTCCTCCCCCAGGATTTTCAGATGTTGACCACACGTATGCCCAGAGAACTCAGCTGTTTGACACGTTAGTCAACTTCTTCCCAGACAACATGACCCCTCCTAAAGGCAACCTGGTGGACCTCATCACGCTGTAACGGAGCAATCACTGGACACATGGAAGAGGGGAAAAGCATCCATTTTCAGTATTTTAATTTTTTTACTGCATTGATTGACTGCTGGGATGAAGTTAATATAGTAACCCCTAGGTGTTTGAAAGGGGTTTTATACTTGTATGGTGAATCCCTGGAGCTTTTCCCTTGGAGTAGGTTAATAAAATGTAACTGACGTACTTCTGACTAAATATATATATTTTTTCTGACTTTGGATTTTGAGTTAGCAAATGTAAGATGAAAAGGTGGGGGAAAAAGAAAAAGAAATAAAACCCAGTCATGCAGTGATCTTTTTGCCTATGGGGGAAAATTTGAGATTTGTGAGTTGTCTGGGATTAAAGATGATGGGTTTTATTTTGTGTTTCCTGAGGAAGAGGGGGAAGAGGTTTTTCTTTCCTCATTTGTAGCTAGTCACGATGTATTGCTTTATCCTACAACTCCATCCTCAGCAGCTGCATAGCTTGGTGGCAGGACACTGGCACGTGTTGAGATGATGTAATTTGTGTCCTGAGTCTTGTACTCACGGTGTGTCATGGGAAGGTGAGCGTGTGTTCCAAACCGTCTGTCTCCCCTTCCCAGACATGTGCTGACAGTCGTGTCTAATTGCTTCTGAGACTCCATCTAAACTCACTACCTACATCCCTGTCTCCTGCTCTCTGGAGCCTTCCACTTAAACCTGGCAGGCAAGAGGGAACCTCGGAGATACAGCTGGAAAATGGGAGTGCGGTCACCGCCCGCACGAGCCCCTTTTCAGGGATTGATCTCTTTGCTGCTGTGCTCATCCACTGAGAAACCCTGTGGGTCCTCGGCGAGCCTGGCAGAGCTGGGTCTTCCACCACACACACCCCTGCAACCTGACCCCAGCATTTCTGAAGCAGATTGTCTTCATTTCCGTGTGCTTCTGTGTGTGTTTGTCCATGTGTACATGTACAGGGCGTTGCTGCCAACAGCTTGTCTCCTTCCCCTGTAGTGCAGCTCCCTTGTCAATGCATTTTAGACCTCAGTCTGAATGTGAGGGAGGCCTTCTTAGCATAAATCTCTGAAAATGAGCTGATGTGTATGTATAGAAAATGTATTCTTCCTTTTGATGAAATCCTTCTTTATAAACACTGTAAGGGCTTGGTGCTGCACTGTGAGGTGGAATGGAGGACATGCATACCCAGCATTAGAAACTCTGCATTCAGTGTCTGTGAGCATTCAGTACACACTGGCAGATGTAAATATTTATATGAAACTGCAAAACTTTCTGTCCAGCAGTGTTCATGCCACTCGTTGTTGCACCCGCTGTGGCTCCTGTTGAACTTGATGGAAGTCCTGTGTGTGCAAAGATGATTTGGACTCTTGAAATAAAGAGTTAGTCAAGTGTCTTTTTCAGAGCTCGAGTGTCTGCTTGCTTTGATTGTATTGCCTCTTTATCATGTTCTTTGTGTGACTTTTGTAGTCCTGGTGCATTAGAAATAAATTTCAAAACCTCATACTAGTGTTTAATCACTTAGAAAGGAACAGTATGTCAGAGGCCAGGCTTGTCTTCAGGGAGGACTGTACAAATGAAGTGTTTTTAACCTGTCACTTGAGACTGTTCAGACTGTTCACTTCAGTGGATGGCAAATCAGATGTCTGCGGAAGAATCCACTCAGTGTGGGAAATGAAATCTGATGAAATTGTTTCTTTGGAACATGACAGGTTTTTTCCTATTCACATGGAAAGTTTTACATCACTGCTGGGCTTTGCGGTGTGCTACCTGTGCTGAGGCTTTGTTAACTAGCATAGAGTTTATACAGTACAAATGTAGATAGTGGGGGAATATTCCAGCTTCCATTGAGATCGAAATGAGCACTTTTAATGCTACCAGCCAAAATTCTGCAACCTTTTAGTACTTAAATTTAGTGCTGCTGTGCTCCTTTATCACTTGATCTCATTGCTTGTGTACCCTCAGCTTCAGTCAGAGGATTAAATACTCTTTGTGACAGTTCTCTAATTAACCAGGCTCTTCATAAACCGTTGTGTGTCCACCTTGGATGGCTAAAAAAACCCAAAAAAATCCACCTTGGTGGATCTGCCCTGGCGAGCAGGAAGTTCAGGAAGGCCCAGAGCTGTGAATGGTGTTGCTGGTGATCATGCATCGTGTCATGTCTGATTTATGTGACAGGAATTCGATCCAAACTCGTTGTCCTCTGCGCTGGGGGTGCACGAAGCCCGGCAGCCTCGGCTCTGTGTTTTGTAGCCTCGTGCAAATCAATGATTTGTTTGAGTGAGGGGAAGGTTGCTTCTGCAGGACTGACAGTGCCAGCTAACGAGAGCACTTCAGGATGATCAAATATTGACCTGCCTTTGTCCCGAGCAGATCGATGCCGCTCGCACCAGCACAGTTCATGGATTACAGCTGGTGATTAACCAGCAGGAACTTCACTCAGCTCGGCGCTATTTGTTGAGCAGCAGAGGCACCGTGTGGCCAGAGAGGTTAATCCAAAGGGAAGGCTTCTTGTGGCTTTGCCAAGGTTCTTTCCTTCTTTTTGTCCTTAAGGCTAGGAGTCAAATGTTCTCTTTGCATTAGTGTGTGCTACATTACCTGCTTTAAATTCTAACCAGAAATTCTGAGCGGTGAAGTATAAATTTCCTTTTAAAAACAGCCACTTGTTGTCAGGCAGTGACACAGGTAGTTTGAATTTCATTGCATGCTGATCTTTAAAGACACTGGTGATATTCCAGGAAAGCATCTGATGTGCTCATTACAGAAAGCCCGAAATACAAACAGTAAAGAAACCCACTGGATCTGAAAACAGCCACCTGAAAACATTTCACAGCCCAGTGCATGCGAGGTTATAAATACCTGAGCTGTGCGTGAGAAGTCTTTGAACCTCACCATCATTGCTTGTTGGCTGTGTCTGAGGCTGCTCTTTAGCTTAGACAAGACAAACATACTCTATTTGCCTTTACTTCAGATTATAAGGTGACTTTGTGTATGAACTTGACACCACATAATCTTTGCACTACAGCGAGTAATTTTATCTGTAAATTCTGTGTTAACTTGTAAATAAGGTATTGCAAAGGAAAGTGTCATTCCTTGTCAGAGAGGGACTCATTCATCATGTTTTGGGTCTTTAAAGCCAAAGTTGCAAGGTTCTGGTATGTCTTTAAAAGCTAGAGGAAGTCAGGGTGGGGTAAACTTGATACAGACATCCAGACTTCGCTCTTGTTTTATCTTTTTTAAAAATATAAATTGAAATCCCTATGTTTGGTTCTTCACTGACTCTGACCCTTACAATGCCCTTTAGTGGATCATCTCCTTGAAAAACAAGAAATTATTTTTTATGTTGTTCCTGTCAAATGATACACTTTCTTAGAGAAATAAAGCCCTTCAGAATTAATTTTTTTGATCACTTGGATTAGGTAGAATTAAGTGAGTTTGGTAGTGTTTGTTTTACACAACCCCTCATAGTAGTCACGAGGTAGAAATTGAGAGTTCTCCCAAAATTATTTCTCCAAGCATGTTCTGCTCTTGCAGTATAACCCAAAATGTTGTCATGTGGCAGAAGGACTTTGTTACATGTTGTTAAATGAGATTATAACCACTTCAGCCACCTTTTTGCCTCTTTTCTTTTGAGCATCCCATTAGTTAGTATTGGTCCTGGGAAGGCCTGAAGGGTGATGCAAAATGTTCATTGAAATTAATTGTAGTTGTTATCTTCTGTCTCTTTTAAAGATATTTGTGATGTGTTTATGCTTATAATATCTTCTTTTTGCTGAGCATAATGAGGAAGGAGAATTTTGTCTTGGAAAAGTTCAGTTTGCCCTTTCCCTGGATGGCATCTTGCATGGGTAGTTTAGGTAGTTGTACCCAGTTTTGTAAATAAACCTCTGGAATTTGGTTTTTGTTTGCCTGGGATGGCTCTGGGTGTACACAGGTACATTCTGGCTCAGGGATCAGGCTGGAGCTTCCTACCAGAACTTCAGTTAGCAAAATCTTATTTTGGAAAATCAGTCTGGGAACACCCAGCTGGAAAAGCTTTTCTAAAGCATTGCCTTGTGCAGTGGCAACTGGAGAGAAATTAGAAATTTTCCTAAAGAGCACAGAAAAGCTTCCCTTTGTGGAGTGACAAAGTTAAATGAAATTGCTGAAACTTTTTGGTCATTGATTATAATAACCCAGCCTGAAAATTGAATGATTTAATGATAACAGTTTAAAGATTGAGGAGTCAGTAAGCAAGTTAATGAGCCACCTATTGGTAGGAGGGTGGCAGAGGTGTGGGGCTGGTGGCCAGGGATTTCCACAGCTCATCTGTTTGTTTCTTTAATTGGCAGCCACGAGTGTCCAGGGCTCCATGTGCTGTTCCTTCTTCCAGAAGAAACTCCTTCCAAAGCCGAGTAATGACTCTGGAAGAGTGTTTTCCATAGGGCTTTGTGGAACAGCTGTTTGCTGAACCATTTTCCTGATGTGTGCAGATTTTTCAAAGGGAGTTTTCTCTGTCCCAGAGTTTTGTGCTGACCTGGCCCTGCTGTGCCATCCTGCCCTGGTGAGTGGTGGATTGCTGAGGAATGCTTCAAACTTGTTTGCTGCTCTTACTGTGAGAAAGATGAGTATTAATGCTGCTTGTGTCAAATACAGGAGGGTGGTAGGTACCTGCAGCAGAAATACTATCAGCTCTCTTGCTGCCTCCTGCATTTCAGAATCGAGAAATAAATACTTTTGTAAAGCTTCTTGAGAGAATTTTAAGTTTGAATAACTTATGTACAACCTCCATCGCTGTACAGGCAGTAATTCTGCTGATGTAATGCTGTGCCACTTCTGGGGAAAATGGCAAAAATTAGTAGATACGTTTCCATTCAGTCCCTTTGTTTTTAAAAGTGGAAAAATGTCTTGTGAAACCTTAAGTCCCCGTGTATGCTTTGAATTTTAGCTTATTAGTTGGCTCAGAGTTAAGGAATGTTTGGCTATTGTCAAGTGAAGTCCTGACAGTAAAAGCAGTTCATGTATGTCTCTGGAAGTGCTTGTGTTGTTTTATAGCTGTACTTATTACAGAAACAGAGGTGGACCCAGTTGAAAAATTAAAATTATTGGTGTTTTGATTTAGGGGGAAGATTATAGAAACTCTGAGCTTGTCCTATTTTAAGAAGTACATGTGTTAATTTGGAGATGGGCCTTATTTTGTGAGAGGAGAGTTTAAGAACAACTGTATGACTTGTTCTTGCTATAGATTGCTAGTAATATATAAGCTGTAAATACTGTTGAAATGTAAATGTGCTGTCAGAAGCTTGTTAGTGTATCTAAATGCCTGTGGGAATGGGAGACCAAATCATATTCTGTCATGGAAAAGGTTATACTGGATATTATTCAAGTTGTGGTAATGGCTTATAAGCAAAATCCCTCTTTTACTGAAAGCTTTTAGTATAATGAAAAGTTGGAGTGGAGAAAGTAGGTTAACTGTACTGGAACCAGGATAAGAGTCCATGGCTCAGTGCTTGGACAAATTGACTCCAGATGCTTTTGTCTGTAGGCAGTGGATCCAAACGTGGTTTTGGAGTGGAAGCCAGTTAATGATCTGCTTATTGCTGCTGGAGAGTCCTGCAGGAGAGCCTCACAGGAATGCCAGCAGGTATCCCTTCAACATTCCTGGCAGAGGTCACAGAGCTGGCTGCAGTTTGGGGTTATCCACGTGTGCTGTGGTTGTATCTGTAAGGTGAGGAGGAGGATGCAGTGGCTGTGTGGGTTGTGTGTAATTCCAGCTGCGTGGCTGAGGTGTGGAGCTCTGCAGGGCAGCACCTTCCCCAAGCACAGATGCTGAGGATAACACATTGCTGCTGTCTGCTTTGCCTTCATGAACTCAGTTTGATCGGGGTGAACTCCAGATACTGCCATGACCCAAATTCAGTGCTGTGCTTCCAGTGGAGCTGCTGTCAGTGCATCACCTCGGTACCCTGAAATCTCAATTTATGCTTGGTGCAGACACAGCTCCACGTTGCCTTGGCTTCCAGCTGTTTGCTGTAAGTCAGCACAGCTTTTACTGATGACCTGGAGATTGTGAGTGCTGTCAGAATTCACTCAACTGTTCAGCTCCAGCAGTCCAGTGGAATCGCAGTTTATTCCTGGAAACAGGGATATGAGTGAACAGCTCAAAACTGGCTCTGTCAGGCTAGATTTTTGGGTTTGCTGCTAATTTGGAAGGAAAGTCTTATCACTAGGAGGTGTGATGGTTAAAGCATGACCCCTTGGTTATTCCCCCTTTTATTCTGAATTTTCTTTCCCGATGTGGATGATCACTGCTGTTAAAATGCTTCAGACTTCCCTGAGTTTAATGAGCACCTATGGAGGAATTAAAGATTAGAGCTCTGTAGTGGTTATTGAGGCATCAGTTTCCCTACATCATAGTCCAGTTGC